AGAGACCTCATCGTCGGTTCCAAATGTCGCCGGAAGACCCGGCAAGCCAGGCTTTCCTGCCGTGACTCTGTGGGATCGATATTGGAGATCGCTGACCGTGTATCCCTCAGACTGGTGAATTTGTACTGCGGGGACACGGAAGTCTCCACGTCCAAGGTCGGGGTACTCTCGTCTAACCCGGCCGATCATGTCAACCCAGCCATTGATTTCCGGGGCGAGCATTTCCATGCTCTCCGTAGCCGACCCTCCAAAGTGGTCAGACAATAGGTCACCAGTCAGCTCATCCACATGAAAGCGGTATGAGGAATGGTCGCCATTGAGGGCAAAAGACTTGCCATCAACGACAATGCCTTTGTAATGTTAGTCTCGCGCATGGTGAATCCTAGCATGGCATCTTTCATACCTGCGGCTGAGCCATTTTGTGCCAACACGCGACCAGTGAAGACTGACGCGGAGGCAGCAACGGCCAGACGTCTCAACGAGAAGCCCATCGTTCCGTATGAGGATGAGGACCAAGGACGAAGGGAGTTGTGAGGAGCTTGATGCCGGAGCAGGATGGTTTTCAAGCCTTCTACGGCGATGAAGAGTTTCGCGGTGAGAACACCCGATATTTATACAATCTTCCTTTCACCATGCATATGCAGCCTCTCCGGGTTCGCCGGTCATCTTCGCGATGCGCCGGCTCACCCAGCAGGCCACGAACCTTAGCTTCGTCAGAATTATCGGCCGTTCCCCAGAGATCAGCGAGGAGAAAATCCACCGCTAGTCCAATAACCATAAGCCAACAGGGAAGTGATCAACATGCGGGGTAGTTCCCCACGAGTTTTCCGCCTGTTTTCCGCCGCTTAATTGCACCGTCAGAGAGAGTGGGTGTAACGTCCTGCACGACAAAAACGACTTTTCCAACCCGGCTGTTCTAGCAGCGAACATGATCCGATTGCAACCTAAAAACTTCGGAGATGAGGGGTAGCTTGCTCTTGGCATTAAACAAAGCAAGAGAGAGAAACATTCTGGGGGTTGGGGAAATTTGGGTGGGACGTAGCACCCGGGGAAAACCTTGGTTGGTTGTGGCGTGAAAGCTAATGATGACATACATCCTGCATAAGGTATTTTGATGTAAATGGCTCAACACACGCTTGGGATGAAAATCGTCCGTGAATTACACTAATTGGCTGAGATGGAAAGGAGAAGAGCTGGATGTTTACTACGGAGTCTAGTTTTGTTGTGGAAAAATGACACATGAACGAATCTATCTGATTTACAAGGGCTGCTTCGAGGCAAGCACCCAAGGCCCTTGATTGGGTCTCGGTATGGTAGTTTGCATCCACCAGGGAAGTTTTGATAGGAGCCATGTTTGACTCTGCCCTCCATCAACATGTCTCTACTGGCTTAGACCTGCGACAATACCCTCACGATACGCAGTAATACCTGCGAGCGTTGCCGCGGGACCAACAACGGCCGATCCCAGAATCACTGCTGCGGCCTGAGTCAAGGCTTTCTTCGTGTTGATGTATCCGCAAAGTCGCAAACTCCACGGCGCCGTGCCGAGGGCAAGCAGCAGCGAACAGAACGTGAAGATCAGAATATCCAGCTTCGACAGACCCAGAGCCATCAGGGCCGCGTTCTCACCACCAAACAAGCTGTACTTCAAACCGAAGAGAGCAACATTGGTGAGATGGATGACTGCGGAGATTGCCAGAGTCGTGTAGTAGACAAGGCCAAGAACCGGGAGATCTGCCTTGGCGAACATGTTTTGGTACTTTTCTCTCGTGCTCTGTAACTTGGTCTCTTCGTTCTCAGGTTGCTGAGATCCAGATTGTAGTCCAAACACAGAGAGACTCCTAGCCAACAAGAAGCACAGTATTGGCGCATTGCGCCAGATGTTGATTGAGTTTGCGTCCTGGCGATACAGCGCGACGGCTGCGGGTAGGAGATATCCCGCGGCCGTGATGGGCAACACCCTCTTGGCGTTCTCGAGGGGAACGTGTCTGCCGACAATGGTGTTGCAAGACCAATGAGCAAAGACACAAGAAATTGGGGCAAACCCACCTGGGCCGAGCGTGTTGTTGAAGATGGTAAAGATTACGATTCTGGGGTTCAGTGCCTCCGCGTTAGTCTGCTCTTGGGGGAGTCTGCCCGAATACATCGGCTGTGATAGCTGGGGATCAACTTACAAGGTCACAGATGTCAGCTGGTTTCCCACGCGGTTCAAATCAGCCAAGGCGAGAGCAATGAGCGCTGCAGTGTTGGTCATGAACTCGATAGCCGGCAGCATCGACGCATCTCCATGGGTGGAAGAGCACAGGACGTCGACCAGCGTCTCCAGGCTCCTAGGCAGACGCAACACCCCTGCCGCGATGGCACAGAGTATACACATGAATGCGACAGAGAAGAGCTTGTTCAGACTGCCCAAGCCCTTGAGTGGCTTCGCTGGCAACTCATCCTCGAACAACACCGCTCTAGGACGATGAGGCACTTCTAGTCTCTCCAGCTTCGTTGCGGGGGCGCAGAACTCGACGCCTCGGTAGACGACTCCGAAAGAGCCCAGCAAAGGCATCAAGTAACGCGCAATCATCTTGCCCATTCTGGTTCGTAGCGTGAAGGCATCCTGGAGCCAGTAGCCTTGCTTGACAATGTGTTGAGCACGTTCCTATCCAAATGAACGGCCAAGATCAGCCTCCGAGTTCGTCGCGAGACCTCATGTCTTCATTGAGTATGACTTGTCACTTACAAAGCGCTTTTCTTGCACCTCAGCAAAGATGCTCTCCAACTGCTTCTCACTAAGACCACCGGGGGTCTGGTCAAGGTTGCGCAACAAGGCGTTGACCAGATGTGCAGCTGATTCGATTGCTCCATTACCGCCTTGACCCGTCACGGGATCGACCTATTCGATAACGTCAATCAGCAATTGTCCTATTGACGCACTTTCCCTCAGTAGCATTCACGCGTTGGGTACCGACCTTGTGTGCAGAATCTCCGATGGTGATGGCCCTCTTGTAGTGCCACTTCTCAAAGACATAGGTTTGAAGCGGCGCCAGCGTCGTAGCAATACGTTTCTCGTAAAGGTCACCAAGTGTCATGTTTTCCAGAATCTGGTCGTCCCAGTGCTGCTTGATAATACGCTCCTCGTCGGCCTTGGTATACCTGTGGAAGGAGATCAATTCCAGTCTTCTAGACTTGCAAGTGATAACATACCTCGGGATATCTCTGCCATAGAGAGTCTTCAACTCCATGAACAAAAACCAGTACACGCGGTCTCCCGGCGCAGCCATTACAAAGTAGCTATGACCAGGCGACATCGTGTTGTGCTGACTGGCTCCGGGGTATGCCTTGGGCCTGTGAGAGATGCCAAAGACACACAAAGTGGAGGCAGGGACCTTGGATTCCTCATCCAGGGGGAAGTATCCGGTCGGCGCTTGTCGCCACATCTCCTTCCTTACCGTGCTGTGGATTCCATCAGCTCCGACGACAATATCCCCGCTGAAGACCTTGTTGTCTTTGGTGGTGACAAGAGCACCAGATTCGGTAAATTTCACGGATACAACTCGTTGAGAAGTGAGCACTCTATCCTTGTGTTCCAAGTTCTCGTACAGAACTTGAATAAGCATCTGCCTGTCGATGAAGATCATTGGATATCCTAACCTGTTCTATTGTCAGTTGTGATTCGCAAAACTCCACAAGCCACTTACATTTTCTCCCACATGTCCATCAAATCATGTTGGTAGCTGAAGATTTCACCATTCTCTCGCCTGAGGTAGGCGTGTTGGTATACTTGGTCCTCAGCTTTGGCCCGGTACGCTTCGTAACAACCGAGCTGATCGAGAATCCGCAAGCCATTGGGCAATAGTCCAATACTGGCTCCAACCTGGGGGGCAATCTCAGGATAGGCTTCGAGAACAACATAGTCAATGTTGAACTTCTCGAGCATGTTGGCGAGCGCCAAGCCAGCGACGCTACCGCCGACAATGACGATCTTGAAGGTCATGGTTAAGCGCGTAAGGCTTAGCGTAAGACTTGGTCTTGATGGTATCGGAAGATCAAAGTTGTTGTATCAGAAGACGGCAGACTCTCCATGTGATACTCCGTGATTCGACCAAGAGGTCGCGAGTTGAATCTTATTGCCGCAAACGGACACTTAACGACCCTACGGTCCGGACGGGGAGTTGTTCATCTCCGTCCGCCAGACTCGCCCTGCCGCCCCGGGATCATCACGACCTTGTCAAAACCCACCGGGGCCGGGGAATGATTGGTGTTGATCGTGTCGTGTATGTAGACCTCCCACCGGCTCTACCACGGAGTGCTCTCTAGATCCATCTCATTAGTCATGCCTAGAGGTCCACAGGATCCAATATCACTGAAACCTGTAGCCATCCCCAGGGCACGAACCCATAATGATTCCCCAACAACCTGTACCGTCGATGGGGATCGTTGTGCCAAGATAATTTTCCCAGAGGTGACCATGCCCCGTCATCAGGTTTCAACGATGCTCCGATCTAGAGACCGTTTCAATCGGCTGCCACGATCTCGGAATTGGCCCTTGAAGTGCTCGGTCTCGCATACAATGCAGTGGCAATGATTGACCTAGTGGTTTATTCCGGCTCTCCAGGCGCAAGAGATCAACCTTAACAAGACTTAGCTTTCAAGGAAATCACACGATGCGGTACAATATTAATTGAAACCATGAGGTATTTGACACTAGACGGTTGGAGGTAGCACGCTACTTCACTTCTGGGAAACATGGACTGGCATGACCAAAGAAGGTCTCTGTCGGTCCGGCCCGGCTTACGTTGGGCCAATGTCAGCTAAGAACTGCTAGGTACCCACGCACCGATGTCAGCCGATTCGGCTAGATGTCTTGAGTAACGGTGAGGAAGAAAAATGCTGAAGAAACCAGGTGCAGTTGTTTCAGTGACAGTTGTTTCGTTGCATTACCTCGCTTTTACGCCATTCTAGCTCACAAAACCTGTAACGATAGGGACGGTTTGAATGATAATAGTCATTCAGGCCTGCGGCGTGTATGCTTCTGCCTCTTTCAATGCCTCCAAAAAGCGTTTCAGACCTTCTTGCAAAGCATCTTTGCCGACTGTGAACGTTAGCCGAAACCACCCATATTCCTCCGCCACATACACGTGACCTGGTGCAACCAAAACTCCATGCTTCATGCAGATATCGGCGATTTGTACCTCGCGCTGTTTGCAGGTCTTTTCCAAAGTGGATTCAATGTCCGAGGAGTCAAGCATGAGTTGATGCTGCGGGTCCTTTGGCGACGTGATCATATGTCTAAGGTCTACCCAAATAAAGAGTCCAGCATTTCTTCACACAGAATGATTAGTCTAGTGATTCCGAAGTATCTCAACTGCCACACTTACGTGTCGAAGTACCGAATATCATGCTCGCGCAAAAATGAGGTTGTGATACGGTGGTTGACGACCATGCGCTCTGCTTTCTCCGCCGTAAACGCAGCGAGCCAGGATTTGTTTTCCATCATAGCAGCCCACACATCCTGGATGAGGTGCGGTGACCACGAGAAGATACTTTTATCTTACTTAGATGATTCATCCAGTCAGGTCTGGCGGGCATGCATACCTGATACTAGATAGCGCTCCCATAACCCCCTCGTTCCTGGTACATACAAGTCCAAGACGTAAGCCATTGGCGCAGAAGTCCTTGCTAGCGCCGTAGAGGATATGGTGGCGAGTTGAGTCGAGAATTCCGCTAAAATCAAGAGAGAGTGTTGATAGGAAAGGGACAGCGTCGCGAATGGCCGGATTTGGAAATGTTGACTTGGCATAGATCTCATCAGAGATGAAGTGTAGGTCGTTCTTGCCACATGCCCGGGCAAAGACTTTCAAAGTCTCGGGTGGCTATTGCAATTAGTGCCTGAGAGAGTTTGGACTGAGGAGAACAAACGTAGCATCTTCCTAGAGGGTTGTGGGGGCTACGGGTTGGTGAGTATTTTCTCGTCCTCCTGCACTCAGAGGAATTTAGGATAGACAACTGACTTGGAAATTATTAAAGCCTTGACTTTGATACCGTTGATTTTGGCTCTGTCAAGCGCCTTAGCTATGGCTTTCCTGTTGACTTCAGGGTCGAACAAATCGTCAAGGGTCGTGTATCCTTCAACTCCAGTGTAGGAAACACCAATCACCTGAACGTTACTACGGTTCAAGGCGTCGACTATAAATCCGTTATACAATGGCTGTGGAATCAATATAGCATCTCCTTCATCGCAGAAAGTCCAAGCCAGTGCATCAATAGCACTAGCCAGGCCTGGGGTGATGAGAATGTTGTCAATACCAAGAGATCTTCGGGGCTTGAATTCGTCTGTTAGGAAGTTCGCGGCTGCAAGGCGTAGGCGGTGCGATCCTCGTGGTCCAGTGCTGTAAGTCAAGTGATTCACTGGAAGAACGGTGACCTATACGTTTCGATCTCAGAGATGAATCATCCTGGCAAGGTTCAGGTTTTACCTCTTGTTTAATGAAATCCGCGATCTCATTGTGCATCAGACTATTCTCGGCTAGGCGGAGGATGACACTAAGTAGTGTAAGTCTTGACGAAAGGAATGTGATGCATGGCTACTTGCGTCCCATTGGGGTTTTCTGGACTCCACGGGTTGCCCATGGACTTCTCTCGGGGGCCCCAAACATCGCGTAAAAGCAATCCTTCAGCGCCGCGAGCAGAGATGTGATAATCTGCCGCCGTTGTCGCTATTCTGTCAGAGTCTTCGATTGAAATCATGATACGTGGGTTGTTAAACTAGCATTCATTAGTATGCAATTGCAAGACTGTCTTACTCGTTTGAAACTATCAAGCCATATTGTATCCCAGGGCCTAGAAGGGGTCCTGTACCGTGTCACTTACGTTGAGTTGTCTCTAAGATGGAGGGCTGAGACCTGAAATTGACCAAGTCTCAAACGTACTGATCGTTCGATAGGACTGAAACCGCTGATACACAAGTGGTTCCGCTTTATATACCTTGTGATCGAATTGGCCGGCGGCTGCCGAGGCGTAACAAGCCACCATAGTCAAGCCGGCGGCCCATTCAGCAAACAGATTGGAGACCGACGAACCAGCAAAAAAAAGACGCCTCCCGCCGGCACATGAGCGATTTCCACGTCATGCTTATCAATCCATCCATGCAAAGTATACATTCAGGCGCCATGAGTCTTCATGTCATTAGAGGGGTAAGTCCAAGGGAGGATGACAAAGCAAGGAAGAGGAGCAGTTGAAAGATGGAAAACGAGCAAACCCTAAAGGCAATCCAATTTGTATCGTTCACAAGTTTGTCGGCTGAATATTATCGTGAGATCTAGCGTTATATAACTACACTGCCCCTACACGGAAGTCAAGATCACATTAAACACCCTCAATATTCAATTTGTTCCCTGCCAATCTTGCTGCGAATCTCACAACAGACCACCACGCACCATGCTCACAAGGGAGACGGCTGTTATGCTTGCCAAGTATAACAACTGGGCCGACCAAGTACTTTTCGCAGCGATTCAAAAACAGCTGCCGTCTGGGGCGGTCTATCAGCCGCGCACAACTCTTTTCAAGTCCATGATGGGCACACTCAACCACAATCATCAGGTCGACCTGATCTGGCGTGCACATCTACTCGAAGAGGACCACGGCTTCTCGACCCGCCGTGATCTGTTATACCCGAAATTTGAGGAGTTGGTCGAAAAGCAGTTTGAGGTCAACCAGTGGTACATCGACTGGGCGACCAGGCAAGATGAGGAAAGCTTCAGCAAGCGATCCAAGTTCAATTACGTCAACGGCACACCTGCAGAGATGACTTTGGGTGGCATGTTTCTTCATGTCATCAACCACAAGACCTACCATCGAGGTTGGGTTAGTGAGATGTTCTTCGAGCACAACACGAATCCGCCCGAGACCGATCTCTGTGTTTACTTGTGCCAATAATGGCATGGATCTGGACTCTGGGTTACTATGTCCTGGGCACGTCAGCGGGCCGGGAATGCTCCCACCCAAAATCTGGACAATGCAGGGAATGAACGGCTCGTTAAGCACGGCAATGTCAGTATGAATTTGACGGTAGAATAGAAAGTGAAATTGATGACAGTCAACCCAGACCACGTTAGATGAAGGGGAAAGCTGCCGTTGTGCTCAGTCGAATTGGGGCTTTTACACGATGACTGCACGTGTTAACAGTTAGGAATTCAGGATTAGTCCATTGTATATGTTCGTATTTGGCAATCTATATCAGCAACTGCCGGTCGCACCTAAGTGGACGCCGGACAAGTATGCACCGGAAGACCCGCTCTGATCGGCTGGTATCGAAGCTAGGTGGTACCACCTCCCGAATAGAAAAACTTTCTAGGTAGTCACAACTCACAACACCGTTTCGGCCCCTATAAAATCGCTGCAGCTAGTTTTAAACGAGCAAAATAGCAATCCTGTGTGACAATGGCCGTCTTACCATCCCCACATGTTCTGAATACCCGAACAAAAGTCATCCGGCACCCTACACTGCGGCGCCCCCGCCCCCGGCGCCGAGAAGCACTTGTGGCCTCCGCTCTCGAGCTGGATACACACGTGGCCCACGGGCGTGGCGTTGGGGAACGTCTGCCGCAGGAAGCAGTCCGGCTGAAGTTTGACCTGCGTGCCTTTATCGCGCGAGAACCACTGCCAGGATTCGCATGTCCCCGAGAACCTGAAGCCGGTGATGGCGTCGCCTGTGGGACCGTTCTCGACACAATTTTGGGCTTGGGCGAGGCTGGCGACGGCTATAAGGGTGGTGGCTGAGAGGTTTGATGGGGGACGCATCTACGAGGTGGCATGTGAGTGATGGATTTGAAGTGGCTGAAGGCTAAAGACTTACTATGAGAGAAGACCAATCTGTGATTTAATAACGATTGTGGTTTCTTGCCGTGTATGTTCTGAGAAAAGGTTGATCATGAAGGAGAAGGGTGGCAGGAATTTGGAAGGGATTGAAAAGAGTGACTATTCCGTGGTGATTGGAGCTGGGGGATGGACAATGGCTTGCAGAAATGAGAACTTCGAGTCTTGATAAATATTCTCCCAAAATATTCCGTTCCGAACTGATTCAGTCTCTTGAAAGCCTCTATACGTGTAAGAACTGACCACAATAATTCTGTAAAGTGCTGATCATTAATAGACACATAGAGTTATAGACTTCCAAGAATTCACTCAACCTGATGGAAATGAGCATCATGGTTGTTCCAACTAGTAGAAATAGAAGTACTTGTTTAGAGTTGTCTTGGCTCAATCAAAAGCGATGATGATCTTTCCTCCGTCGTGAGTCGTAAACAACGAATGACGTGAGAAAGTGTGAAGTACTTTAACTACACGCTTGGCATGAGCTTAGTCAAACTGCTGGTCTTCCGGCATCCCCTGTCAAACCTCTCGGTTCTCGGAGTCATGGGATGAACACTGACACAAGCGATATGTGCCTCAATCCGAGTGCTTGGAAACTACAAGCCCGAGCAAAGTCTAAAGTCTGATACATAAATTCTGCTTTTTCATTTGCATTCTTCTGCCCGATGTTGTTTAGCCCCCGCGACTTCAAATTGGTAGAATGGATTGATGGTGTTTATCCGTAAGTTGATCTTCGTATATGATATGCGCCCGTCTGAACTCGCCGGCGGTCTTGGCAAAGCCCGGATGCTCCGAATGTGTCTAACTGCCCAAGAGTCGCTGCTCAAAGACAACTTTCGGCGAGTTGTGATTGTTCAACTCAACCTTTAGCTTCTACATTTGCATTATGAGGCGAGTCAGCTTGAACAGTTGGTACTATATTCAAAGTATAGTTGATTGAGGTCATTCGAGACAATGAAGATCAGTTCGTGGGAGAAGGCAAGATGATTATAAGTATCTGTTTTCGAAATCCTCCTTGCTCGCTCCTCATCCTCAGCTCCTTGCTTGGACTACCTCAAGGGCCTTGCTTGAAGTCACTCGTTTAAGGATCAACTCCAGCCATTCTGTACTTACAAAACAACACGCGTCACTCATTATATAAGCGACCCAGTCACGCCGTGTCACTCACTCCTTCGAAGACAAAAAGCAACCAACAATGAAGAGTCAACACATCGCCCTACCAGGCCTCCAAGCCGCAGCTCTCGCCTTCCTCGGCGCCCGCAGCGTTTCAGCAGCAGCAGGAAAAGTCTTTTGCGCCGACGCCAACAACAAGGTCGTCGCCGACACTAAGTGCGCCGTCGGTCAGGCGCCAGCCCCAAACACCTTCTTCATGTTCAACAGCGAAGCGGAACACCCCGTCGGGAGCACCATCGACGAGAGCAAGGTGGACTTGTACGATGCCGCCGACATGATTGAGCGCCAGAACGCGCGGTTCCCGCCGGATTACGAGATGGAGACGGAAGGGTTTGGGAAGAGGCAGGAGTGTGGTGGTGGGAGCAGGGGAGGTTGAAAGTTGGGGGGGAAAGAAAAGGGAGATGGGTTTGATGGAAGATACAGCTGTGTTTTCCAACTTTGGAAGGAACCCTGGATATGTTTTGGATTTATCTACTCTCTTGAGCGAGAATCAGAGCGGCTGTTGGATGTTAATGGATATGTATCTTGCAGAAAGTAAGGCACCGAAGTGGACCCAAGCAACAGACTTACAAACAGCTCTGTGGGCTCTAACTACGCGGCTGATGAAGAGAGAAAGTATGCTAGACGTCAATCGTTATGGTGCAGTCGTCAAAGGAACTTATCGCCCTGAAGAAAGTGAATTTGCTGAGCTAGTAAAAGGCGGCTCGCTCATCAAGACTATGCCTCATCATCATGCACATTGTTCAGCCACTACTGGCGCAATACATTGGGAGAGTGAAAACTTGTATGCGAGCTCAGATTGAGTCTTGCCCAAGTACTATCAGTTGACTCCTCAAAACGAGTATTCTTCACTTCCTCAGCAAGCAAACGCGAGACTGTCTCCAATGATCATATTAATCCTGTGAATTTTGATGCTACGGTAGTTCTCTAAGTTTACCAAACCATGCACCACTTCTTCTGGTACTTGTTAACCCAACAATGCAAACGCCGAATTTTGGTGTGCAAAATGCCATACAACGCCCCAGCCATGATTGAATCTCATAACCCGAGCCCCAGTCGTTCTCAGACCAGGGCTAATGCCGTTTCCTCAACCGTATCTCTCGTCTCTTTTCTTCCTCTTGTTCGTCTGAGCAGATCCGTCTACTGCTCCTCCTGGACGACGACGCCCCACTCGTGCTGCTCGCCACCGTACATGATGTCCTTCATCCACTTCTTGATCTGGAGGGTGTACTCGCCACCGACACCTTCGCCGCCCATGCCCATGTTGGCATCCTTGCCACGGTGGTGGATCAGGGAGATGGGGCAGATGAAGAACTGAGATGGCATTAGCAAGTCGTCTGGGCGAGAGGAAGCAATGATCAAAACTTACAGCAGTACCGGCGGCAAAGGACTCGACGATGCGACCCTCCTCGTGAGCCTGGATGACCTCATCGATGGTGTATCTGCGCTCAACAATGTCGACGCTGTCGCCGAGGCGCTCGCGGGCGAGCTGGAGAACGCTGCGTCTCGTGACACCGTCGAGTATCAATCTGTCGTCGAGAGGCGCGGTAATGATCTCCGTCCTGCCGGTCTCCTTGTTCTTCCACACAACAAAGAAGTTGCTGGCACCGGCCTCGGTGCAGTACTGCTCCTGTCCGTACAGCCAGAGAATCTGGCCGAACCCACGGCTGCGGGCCTCGACAGTAGCCAGCAGAGAAGGGCCG